GGGGGGGGGGGGGGGGGGGGGGGGGGGGGGGGGGGGGGGGGGGTGGCATAGGTGCGGGGGATTGCAATCCACGTGCCCTCCTGACATAAGAATCGAGGGGTTACGGGGAGAGTGTGTCGAATAAGAAACACCCCACAGCTCCTTCTATCTGTCGCTCTTTCCCCCCTATCCCACTACCCCCCCCTCCCAAGTGCGTTATTAGTTATGCGACGAGGCGGGAGTATGTTTTTTTTGCGGCGCCCCCGTCGCCCCCCTGCCGGCTCTGGCGCTCTCTGGCGTTCCGGCTCTGGCACAGCACACCAGACAGGCTGCGAACCACGATATGCTGTCTGCTGTTCGGTTTTGATGGTGCTCTCCGCCAGCTCTCGTGAGCAGAGAAGAAATTGCCGATTGAAGAAATTCAGAAGGATTATTTGGCGGCACGAAAATAAGAAACTTGACATGAGAAATTGAACGACATGATACGCTGAGTTTATAGCCCACATTAAGAATTCGAGGCTGGACCTGAAATAATCGTTTCTTGATTGCGGGCGCTAACCGTAGATGGGACGGACATACACACACCGCACTGAGACCACGTCTTTTCGTTGACCAGCCGTCAGCACGGTCGATACCAAAAATTGAAAGACACCACGTATGAAAGGAGAAAAAAAAAGACTCCGAGCCGGATGACCTTCCCCTGTGCCGAAAAATAGCTATGAAAACGACGATGAGTGTTGGATGGAGTGAACGCATGGAGGGTGACGGTACTTGTGCTGCATTCCAAGAAACTCTAGTGCACAAGGTAGCACATATCCCTGGTATGCACGTGCGGTATCCTTCTCTTGCTACCGTTTCTGTTTTTTATCCGGAGAATAATGGCTTAGCGTCGTCACCCGTGCCGCCCCGCCACGAGGTCCCAGTTCATGGCATTTACTACATGTGTTTTTTGTTTTGCACCTGAGACTGGCGACGTCGTTTCTCAATAATTAATGATGATTGGTCAGTCGATTAGCTAACGCGATCGATGCTAGACACACATTATACTACATCCGGTAAAATAAGCGGCTCCAAGCATATGCATACTACATCATCATCAGATGTTTGTGCTAGGCCTTGTTGCATGTCGCGGCGGTGTATCGGGTGAAGGCGCGCGCCGATAACCCGCGGCTACTGCTGCTGCTACTGCCTGTGTATTCGTGCAGCAGGTAGGATGTGTCGATTGTGGGATCGAAAAAAATGGAGTCATTACATATGCTAGTCTACATTATTATTATTCTAGTCTACATTCATTTTTTTCATTCATTCATCAGGCCGATCGTGTATCGGGCAAGCCAGCGCTGATCAGAGGGATGGCAATATTGATTGGTCCCAAGCCCAGTGCTGCTGTACAAGCACGGCTGACCCAGTTGACAGGATTGGATAGATGGTTAAGTCGTTTTATTAGGTCGTCCCACGTATACAAGCGCACAGAAGAGAGTGGCAGCGGGGGGCAAGCTCCCGTGCCGCACACCATAACCAGTCGCAATAAATCCACCGCCGTAAAGATGCATCCATAACTCGGAACACATCACAGCTTGCTAAAGATACGCAGGGATTACCCCGAAGATCCGCACCCGCTGGGCGGTCGATTGCAGTCGCACAATTCCATAGCTCCAAACAACATATGAGTACTAGACTACAGCAGTAGCTCTCGTGAGGATTACATGATCCATAATCCACGCCACGAACAGGCAACCCTGGGGGGACGTGTTCGTGGCTTGAAAGAAAGCTTGACGGACTCGAGGGCATTAGCTTTGTTGAGAAGCCCGATGACCACTAGATAGACTAAAGAGAAAGAGAGGGCAATAAATTGATTTGCCAGTTGTTTAAGGACTGCTCCAAAGAAAGGACAAAAATATCTCTGGCCGTCCGATGACGTCATTCGCAACGACGAAGCCGCACGTTATCTCTGAGATTCAAATTTTCATGCCTCGATCGTGTCCTCCTGTGTCGACAACGAGGATACGTTATTGCATGGACACTCTACAACGAACGTGTGTCCCTCAAAGCATTATTAGGCCAACGACCTCCACATCCCACGCGCGGACCACACAGCTTCGACTGGAACAGCGACGAGAACCGTAGTCGGTGGATAGTGCTTCATTTCACCTACAAACACTACGGCCAATCCCTTTCTTTCGAATGCTCGACCAGTTTTTTTTCCATATGCCCCCCGTTATTACTCATCTAACGTGCACTAATATTTCGTATTCTCCCACTACTCGTGATTTCGCCGTGAAGGAGCGAGCCCTCAACGGCGGAATGCCTTTGGTGAAGTTGAAGAAACGACGGAGTGGATAGACCCGCTTGACGAGGCACCGTGATGGACCGCGGAAAGCTTGCAGATCTAGCGGTTTCACGCTTTATTGGCCTACGGCATTCGGATGCCGGAACCACCCGAATCAAAACTTGATGCCGGCACCACCATAAGGGGTGGTGTCTTCTTTGACCCACACTGTCTTGGTTGGTCCAAAGTGGATTCCCGTGGCTGCTCGGAGGTTAGCGTTTATGATTTTCTAGTTGTTCGCGATCGTCACGGCATTCATTTGGGCTTGCGCTCTCCTCCACTCCTCGGCGATGATGTGCCGCTCTAGCTCTTGCTGGGGGGTGCGGTGGTGATGTCCAGCACAGGCGCCATCACCGGTGTTGCCTGAGGAGTGGTCTGCCATCGGCACTGATGATGCAGACGAGGCTTGCTTATCTACGAGAAAGGTCCAGTTGGACCAACACAGACAGGCGGAACGGGGGGGGGCGTAAGTGGCCGTCCAGCGGCGTCGCTTCGTGTGCGAGGAGATGATGTTGTTGGAAATTTCGTGGCGCCTCCCGCCAAGAATCTGCATCAGCACCATGGGCGCGGTACACAGAGCGGGAAGGGTGGTGGGAGAAAAGGGGCCGCACGGCAGAGGAACGCAGGACCTCAAGCATGCAGATGCTGCATGTTCATTTTCTGTAGCCCGCCGACATACCACCAAGAGTACCTTCGTTTGTCTTTCTTTGTGCTTCTTCAACGCCAGTCCTCAACCCCTCCTTAAACTGCGCCTTGAGCGGCTGCAGCTTTTTCTTGAAGCCCTGGAGCTCCTTCTGCAGCCCCGAACGATCAGCAAAGCGGCGCAGCATAGCGCCGCCCTCCTCCAAAATAATACCTTTTCCTAGGACAACACATCAACATAGGCATCGATACGCTCAAGTAAACTTTAAAGCATAGGCCTGAAAGCAGGTGCTCTAGCGAACTGGCGGGCGCACAGCTTGTGAACCTGGACTCTCCCACCACAAAACCAAGCTGTACGGCATGAACATTGTTGTTTCTGTTGTTGTTTCTCACATTACCTCAATAGTCCACAAACAATGGGGAGCCCGTGGTCTCAAAACTCGGCACATACGACGCCGCGGGGAAACAAAACAAACATAGGGTACAAATCACTCGGATAAAAAAAACAAAGATAGAGAGAAAAGAACAGGTATCGCACCAACCGTTCGAGAAAAGAGCCTCGGAAACCGATCAACAAAAGGAAAAAACAAAAATAAAGGAGGACGCTTCCCACACCCGCCCGAAGAAAAAGTCAAAGGGTAACGTACCAGCACCAGGCACTACGCACCAGGGCATGGGAGTAACGGAGCAAACAGGACAAAGAGGCGGCAGATGGGCAGACAGCCAGACGTACAAAAACAAAGGTAACAGCAAAGCGAGATCAAGGTACCAACACAGCAGAGTAGGCAGGGAGGTCATGAAAAAAAAAACACAGCACAGAGGCCGAAGGCAATACAAAGGACATACATAAAGGAATATAGCATACAGCAGGGAGGGAAACAGGGCGCAACAACATCAGCCGGGTACATAGTTCGCCACGAGTGCTGCCTCGGCCGCCCTACTCGCTTCTACAGCAGTGCCCGCTCGCCCTTTCTTCCCCTCCACCGCCGCTTCCCCGGCTCTCTTTCTCTTCGATCCTGAGATGGCCGTACTCTCTGCTTCTGCTTCCCTCGCGCGCTGGCGCCTCGCGAACGCTTCCGTCTCCTGCATGTGCCATTTCCTCATGATTCATGCCGCCCCGTCCTCGACCTTGTTGTACCACGCCTCCGGGTCCTTGGCGCTCTCTTTCCATTCACCCTCGTTCCTTTTCGTCTCCCATGTTGAGGGCCACGAGGTCCTCTCCTAGACGAGACACCCAGTCGCTCTCCTGCCCGCCCCGGTATCCCAC